CGGCCGTGGAGTACTCGTCGGGGTCGAAGCGCTCCCGGCAGTAGGAGGCGCTGTCGCGCACCAGGCGTTCGACGCGAGGGTCCCCCGCCAGCAGGCCCTGCGGCAGCGCGAAGCGCGGCGTGTCGGTGAGCAGGAGGAAGTGCAACGGCGCCGGGCCCTCGCGGCGCAGTGCGAGCCCCAGCACCACGGTCTTGGAGATGATGCTGACCAGCTTGTAGCAGTGGCCCTCGCGCACCGGGTGCAGGTCATAAGGGTTGCGAGGTGGCCTGCTGGGCACCAGCACGTTCACGGGCAGCCGCACACGCTCGATGATGGCGCGCACCGTGTGCTCGCCCTCCTGCATCTGCAGCTCCAGCGGGCTGCGCGTGCTGAAGCGGCCCTGGCACTGGAAGGGCAGGCTCAGGCTCTCGTTGGTGCGGTGGTTCATGCAGATGAGGCAGGGCATCTTGCCTTTGATGGGTCTGGCACCCCCACCGACGCCCGCGGCCCCGGTACTCCCGGGGCCGCCGCCTCCGACCCCAGCCAGCGCCCCTGCGCGTCCCAGCTTGCGCAGGAGGGTGGTAAAGCGCGAGCGCTCCTTGGTGGTCTTGGCGCACAGAATCTCCGCCTGGCCCATGAGAGTGAGCTCGTCACCCGCGTGCAGCGTAAAGTTGTACACCTCACTGTCTTCGCTGAACTCGCCCGACACCACCTGGGGAATCCCATAAAAGCAGAGGCTGAGACAGCTTTCCAGGGAAAGCAAGACAGCCAGCAGAATGGGCCTCCCCTTTTCCAGCTCTCCGCGGACTGCTACCAAATCGAAAAGTCCTGGGTTGGGGTCAAGAGCCCCCCAGTCCATCCTAGAGAAGCCTGGGCAACCTTAAGTTAGCATTCCTGGGGCTTGGTCATGTCATGCAATACTTTCCTTGGAAGGGCTGCTGTGAAGACTAATTCACTGAACACACACACTTTGAATGTGCTCAGATAGCAGCTTCTCTTACTGTCTTTCACATGTTGGTGATAATACCTCACCTGTTCAGTAAGGCTACTAGAAAAGATGTGAACTGCTAGATAGCAAAGGGATTGTAAACAGTAAAGCAAATGCAGAATTTTGCACAGAATGCTCCCCCACAGCCAGCACCTCTGCCACTGGATAGCAAGACAGGCTGTCCTGAAAGGTCACCAGGTGTCAAGGATGACACCACCACCACCACCACCGGTGTCCTTTCTCCTCCAGGTTTACCACCCTTTTCTAGGGTCAGGGTGGCCCCTCAGGGGTGGGTGAGGCAGCCAGCATGCCTGATGAGGGACACAGACTGACCTTGACACTGAAGGTGATGGCTTCCATCACAAAGATTCGGTCAGGGAAGACGCTGGCCACCTCCTCCACGCTGCTGAAGTACCTCACCGGCTCCCGCACATCCCGGGCCTGCTCCAGGAGCTTGAATTTGCCTGCACAGAAGGGATGCAGGCTGCTAGAATGGGTCAGCCTGCTGGGAGGCTGGCCTACATTCAGAGATACCCCAGGGCTCCTACTACTTACTGCCCTCAGCCAGCTTCTTCAGAACTCAGGCCCTAACTAGCAAGAGGGTGGATGGGTGTGATCGTCTAGCTTAAGGCTGAGTGAAGAGCATGCATGGCTCTCTGACAATTAGCTCATAGGCCCTTCTCTCCTCCTCTGGTTTCCCCCCACCCCCCGAGTTTGCCCAGAGAAATCTAACTATAAATTGGCCCCAAACCGGCACTTGGACACAGAGCTGGCCTCTGATCCAAGTGTCAGAACTGCACTGGAGATGCTGGCTCATTGCTTAAATACCAGCCTAGCTAAGCCAGTGCCCTTCTCTGGGCATCTGGGTTCTCACATGAGGAGGCTGGAGCCACTGATTCTGTGTCTTACATCTCATGCATCATCACCCCTGTGTTGCTACGTTAAGCTGAGGAGTGTTCTTGGGGACAGCTGCTCTGATCTCAGTTCTTTTTCCAGGCCTTCCTCTGATCCAATGTCCACTCCTGTGTCCCAGAGGTTTCTGCACTGAGATTAGCAAAGCCCCATTCTATAGATAAGACCCTCCCATCTTACTGTCCAGGAATTACTCTTGTTGCCTCTGAACGTGCCTCCAGAAGGTGTGGACTTTAGAGAAGTGATGATGCCCTGGGAGTATGACGCTCCTGTCTGAACTGTCACACCTTCAGGTACCACCACCTTGTGGAAACCATTAACATTTTCCAAGCACCACCTCACCTAACACTGCTCCAACATGAGCATAAAAGGCAAGACTGTGGCCTGTGTTAGTATTTGAATAACATCTCTGAGCTCATGCAGCACAAGGGGACTTTGGTTAAGGGAGGGGCTAATAGGTCAGGGGAAGAAAAGGTGGTTCTAGCTTCCAGAGCATCCACTCCCTATGATTGCCTCAGTATAAATTCATTCACTAATTTATTCCTCAAACATCAGTAGAGTACCAGTGTTCCAGCTATGGCACTAGGCCCTATTTAGGGTACAGATTTGTGCAAAATACAGTCTTCCCACAAGGAAATCAAGATACAGTGACGAGACGGTAAGTACACAAGACAGCAGGTGCTACAACAGAGGCTTGTAAAAAGAGCTAGGAGGCTGATGAAAGGGGGGCAGACACCTGCCTGGCAGAGCCAGACAGGATCACTGAGGTGCACCTTAAGCATGAAAGAGATTTTACAGAATGAGCATCTCACATGAAGAAGTAACACAGGCAAAGATACAGAAGTACAAGAGGAGAATGCACGCCTGGAATGAGGAGCAGCTAGAGGGGAGGGTTTGAGAGGTGAAGCAGACAGCAGCTAGGTAATGAAAGGCTTTGAATGCCATGCTAAGGCAGTGGGGCTTTATTCTACAGGAAGTGAGGCCTGCTGAGGTATTTTGAGTAGGGAAATGCAATGATTCAAGCTGAGCTCTATGAAGATCACTGGGAATCCGGTCTGGTAAAAAATCCACTAATAAGTTCCGGAGAAGAGATAGGGCAGTGACCAAGGTAAAAGGAGAAGAAAATAAGAATAGATTGGAAAGGGTCAGCGGAAGCACGGAGCACACACAGCTCGCTGGAGGCCGCACATGGAGGAGCACAGACCTTCGGCTTGCCGTGAACATGCTGGTGCCCAGCCAGACACCTTGCAACCCGTAAGACCTGTACTCTACAGGCCTGTCCGTGTCATCTCCAAGAGCACAGGGATGGGGCTCGAGCCAGGCCTTAAGTAAGAGAATGAGGAACAGGTAGGAAAAGAACCAAGCCTGATGTGATGATGGCAGAGGTGTTAATTTGCAGTGGGGACCCTGGACGAATAAGTTGTGAGCAGGAGCAGATCCTGAGCAGGCCAAGGGAGAGAGCTCCAGGCAGTGTTGCTCCTGAGGGCACAGCCTGTGGGAGCGGAGCTGGGGAGGCCTGGTCAGGAGGAATGCACTGTACGCAGGCGTCAGCTTTAGTTGTAGATTGCGTGAGGGGCTCAGGGAAGAGAGAGTGGAGCAAATTCTAACCCTTCGAGAATGGCTTTTTTAGAAAAGTGCCACAGTACTCACAGGTATACACAATTTTGCAGTTCCTGGACCCCAAAGACATTCTAGTGGTACAGTGATTAAAGCATTCAGCTACTAACCATTGTGGTTGTTGTCATTGAGTACCGTCTAGTTGGAACCAACCCATAGCTGACAACACCCTCACAGCCCCACACCCATAACCCACCCCTGGCGTGTTTTCAGAGGCAGTTAATTGCATAGGAGGAAATCTCCTCCTTCTTCCCATTCTTCTCCCACAGAACAGCTGGTGGCCTCCAACCACCAAGGTGCTCAAGGTGCCTTTGGGATTGCAGTGCAGCTTCTTGCCACAAGGCCACCAGAGCTCCATATTAACCGTCAGGTTTGTGTTTCAAACCCAGCAGCCACTCCAAGGGAGTGCTTCCATCCTGATTTATGGCCTTGGGAATCTATGGTCTGCTGTGGGTCACTAGAAGTAGGAATTGACTCAAAGCAACAAGAATCCTCAAAGCCCAGGCAGAGAGCCAGCTGAAGGCCCTCCTGGTATGCAGCATGAAGAACAAATAAGCCCAAGGGCAGAGCTTACTGCACCAGCATCCAGGAGTAAGAAGAGAAATGAGAGTGTGGAAGACAAGGGAGTATGTGGGAGATTGTCTGGAGAAAGCTGGGAGGGGAGCCTGGGGCCACCCTGGGACCCTCGCTGGAAGAGGCCTGAGGCTTGTCACATGCATCAGTCTGGGAGTCAGGAGCAGAAGTTTTAAACAGGGCACAGACCCCTCCCTCACGCCTGGTAATCATGCCCCATAGTCACATGCAAACTCCCTCACAACTTCCACGCGGAGGTCAGGAATGGAGATAGGCTGCGTCCCAACCGTGAGAAGCTGGAGAGAAATGCCCACTGCCCCCACGGACAGCGCTGGAGCTGAGTCAGGCTGAAATCTGGGAGGATGTGGCTGAGAGGATCGATGTAACCATGGCACCCAGTCCCCTCACTCGGCCACAGCCCCACAGCCCGAGTCCAGTGCCTGCCATTACAGCCAGGAAGAAGGAAGGAAGACCTCTCGGGAGCCAGCACTGGCCCCCTGGAAGTAATTTCCTCCCCCTCCTCACCACCTACCCTCAGAGGCAGGCCAGGGGCAGCTTCCTCTCCTGTCACCCCCACGTGAGGCCTGAGCAGCCCCCCTTCCCTCCAGAGTCCATCCCACTCTGGCTGTCCCTCCCCTTTCTCTCTGAACCCCCAGAACACATTTGCACCTGCTTGACTGTTTCTGCAGAACTCTATAGTGGCACAGCCCCAGGTCTGGACCTCTCCAAGGTGCTCAGTAAAGGATGGTGGTGGTTACAATACGGGGTTGGAGTCCGATGGAGCTGGTGGAATGCCAACTCTGCCACCAAGCAACTCTGTGGCCTTAAGCAATTATTGACTCACTCTGGGCTTCAGTTTTCCCATCTGTCAAATGGATGCATACTGCTTAGCAAGCCGGTACAAGGCAGGGGAGACATACGAGGGCTGCTGCTTTGGGAGCAAAGCCACCACAATCCTGGGGAGGGGTACCAAGCCTGGGCAGAAGCCTCCGCCCCTCCAGCAAAAACGGTGGGGAGACTGACTGTGTCAGAGGAGCCAGGGCACCCTGCTTCCCTGAGGGTCACCCCCAATCGCCACCTCCCCGCGAGCGCCGCCCCTCCCCCCCTCCCGCCTTCTCAGAGGCTTTCTCCGCGGTCCACAGCAGCCCACCCCTGCCGCCCAGCTTTCATTATTAATTCATTAGCAGAAATCAGCGTCGGACAGTGCACTCACCTCATCCTCGTTAACCCGCTGGCGGCCTGGGCTCTCCCCCCTCTGGAAGCGGCTTCTGCTTCCCCTCCCCATCCCCCACCCAGGCGGACCAGAGGGGCCACTGGAAAAATGGGGCTGGGGTCGCTACACCCTGCAGACCTTCCGTCACCTCACTACCATACACATGCTTTCGGGGGCACCAAAAGAGATGGTGGAAAGGGGTTATGAGTCACCTAGACTCTGAATTCCTTAGGAGACTGTGCCCCTTGGGGCACATCCCTCTTAGTAAAAAGAGGGCTTCACCTTCTCTAGAGGTCCCTGGGTGGTGTAACTGTGTATGCCACCAACTAATTGAACTCTCAGCACCAGCACACAGAGAAGAGATCTACTGTGTTGGGCAAGTCCACTGTCAGAGACTTAGCCAAAATACTTAGGTGCAATAATGTCAGCTTAAAGACTAAGGTGTGCCTGATTCAGGCCATGGTCTTTTCAATCACCTGCTACACATCTGAGAGCTAGACAATGAATAAGGATGATAGAAGAATTGATGCCTTTGAGTTGTGGTGCTGGAGAAAAGTACTGAGTATACCATTGACTGCCAAAAGAACAGACAGATACGCCTTGGAAAAGGTGAAGCCTTTGAAAAGTAAGATGATGAAGCTCCATCTCTCATACTTTGTACATGTTGCTAGGAGATGCTAGTCCTTGGAAAAGGATATCATACTTGGAAAGGTGGAAGGTCAATGAAAGAAAGGAAGAACACTTCCTCCTGCCCAACAAGATGGATTGACACAGTGACTGCAGTAATGGGCTCCAGTGTGTCAGAGATGATGACGGCACAGGAGATGAGAGATTTAGTTCTGTTGTTCACAGGGTCACTCGACTTGGTGTCACCTAACAACAACTAATTGAAAGGTTGGCATTGGGTGCTGCAGAAGAAAGGCCAGGCACTCTGGTTCATTAAGACTATTATTAAATTCAGTTGTGCTCTGAAACACGTGCAGTCACCAGGAATCGGAATCTCCTGGCAATGGGCTTGGTTTAGGGTTTGGTAATCCCCACCAGAACTTTAATAAGATAACTGAAATGGGTAGCGCCTGAAATCACGCTTCCCTCAGTGGTTTCCACCCTTTCCCTTTTTATACCAAAAACATCTAAGACCTTTTCCTGGGCTGCGAATTTCTAACTTGGAGAAGACCTTGCTCCACCCCCCACTTAAAGGTCTTCAGGCTCAGGAAAAGACTTTAAGTCAGAGGGATTGAGACAGTTTTCTTATCCTTTTAAGTAAGATTTGAGGGATACAGTGATACCAGTCTCACATAGATTGTATAAAGAACAAAAGAGGGTGTATGTATAAAGGCTTAGCCCTGTCCCACTGTCTCAGAACAAACTCAGGGCAGAGGAAACTGAGCATTTCCAGATCACGAGTTCCCAGCTTCTGTCTTCCAGTTTATTGGAGACAAAGTATACAGTGTCCTAGAGCAGTCAAAAACACAGGCTTGAGCAAACTTCCAAAGCTCCCGGTGCCTCAGTTTCCTTACTGGTTAAATGGCATCTTTAACACTTTCTCTCTGGCTAAGGATAAAAAGAGAAAATGTTTCAGCCTAGTGTCTGGAAATGCTTAACCCAACCCAGGTCCAAAACCTAGCAGCTGTGGGATTGTGAGCTCACAGGGGTCATCTATGGGAACAGGACCACCAGCCATCCACACAGAACCCCAGCGCCAGCCCCAGACATGCTGCACCCTGGCTCACCACTTACTAGGCCACATGACGTTTTATTTCTTAACTCAAAAACTCATTGCTGTGGAGTTGGAAGCAACCTATAGCTGATTCTCCAAGGCTTTCCAAAGTCACAGGGACAAGATTTCCTGTCCTTTCTAAATAGTAAAGGTTTTCCAAGGCTGTAAGCACACAGGAGGAGCTTTACTTTCTCCTCCCAAGCTGCTAGTGGATTTGAACTGCCAAAGAGAGCCCCTTTCACGTCTTAGGATCTCTATCTCATATTCCTTTAAAATGAAGAAAGCAGAATCCATTCATCAAATCTTTACGCAGGACATCATCATTATATATCAAACACATAAAAGTTCATTAGCATAATTTCATTAAAAATCCTGACATTTTAGTCATCCATTATAAGTCCATAAAGCTGTTCAATTAACAAGGAGACTGAGAAGAACAGGACAAGAGCTGATGCGGGTGTCCATACATATAATCAATCAGCCCAGCATCTCACTTGGCTTCTGAAGCTTCTTGATTGCCCAATATTGAGAAGCTCATGCAAGTGTTCTCTTTAAGGGGCTTATGAAAGAGGGTTCATGAGACCACTTACGGTGCACACTGAGGGTCTCCTGTTATGGTCAAGATGTGTATTGCAACAATGCAGGGGGGTTGTATTGTGACAATGTGAACGGTGGGTATATTTTTTAGTGGTGGAAAAACCTGCAAACCTGTGAGCCATCTCTCCAGATGCCTAGAGAGCCACAAGACAGGGAAGACCAGGACTAGGTCGTTCCCTGCCAACTGAGAGGCTTAAACATCTTGTTCTCTCTCATCCCTGCAGCTCCAAGGGCAGGTTGGTGACCAACAGATTCCCCCAAGCCTTTCCCCCACTCCACACTTGGCTCCAGATACCCCCTCCTCCCGGCAGTGACCTTTTGCCCTAACTGGACAGACCTGGGTACTGCAAGGGAATGTCAATCTTGGGCCCAATGACGTAGTGACCTTCCTCCAGGGTGTGGGCAGTCACTGTTGTCCACTGGCGACAGGAGTGGATGAGCAGGATGTCACGTTCACTGACGCCCTCAGCATACTCTCCTGGGAAGCAGGAGGATGGCAGAGGTGGAGGGAAAGGAAGAGAGGATGTTAGGAGGGGCAGGGTAATCACCTCCCCAAGACACCACCCTGGGACAGCCACCCTCCCAATCTCTATCCAGGTCAGCTATGCTCAAAGAGCAGGCAGGCTGCCAGTTGCAGCCTCAGGGCCGTGAGTCAGGCCCCATCTCTGTGCTCCAGCTCCCCATGGGGCCCGGGCAGCCGGCCTGAGCCACAGTCCCTCATTCATCATTCAGCTGGAGCCCTTGCTGCCCCAGGCCCTGTGCTGGGGCCTGGAGACTCGCAGAGAATGAGCCCAGCCTCTGCACTCTGAAAGCCCTTAGGCCCACGGGGAGGTGGGAGGAGACGTGAGCAGTGAACCTGGGGCCACTGAACACAGCCTGAGCACTGGAAGGTGTCTGGGACATTCACAGACGACAGCAGCCAGCCGGCTGGTGTTGGATAAGGGGAGACATTCCTAAGCAGGAGATACCTGTGCTGTACCAGAAAACAAGCCGAACTTGCACCAGCAGAATTCAGAGGGCCTTGCTGAGGAAGTAGAGAGGACCTAGAAGAGCCCCAATAGAAACTGGGGCTGCCAGCTGTGAGGACTCCCCAGAGCCATGGGAGAAAAACAGGACATGAAGGTGCTGATCCCTGGCTCTCCCCACACAGCACTGTCCTCACCCTGTGCCATGTGTCCAGGAGCCCAACTCTGTCCCAAACCCTTGATCTTCCCAGCTCCTTAACACTGCAGACTGCTAGAATAGGAGGATTTACAAGGTGGGAGGACAGAGAGGAGGGGCCTAGTCTTGGGGGAAATTGCACTGGGGCAGAGGTGTCTGGGCCCCTGAAAGTCTGACCTGGCAACGGTTTCCAGGGGAGCAGAGGGGCTGGCCCAGCCCAGCTTCTAGCAGGCTGGTGGATAGTCTCCTGGCTGCAGCTGGTGGGCAGGGTCGGGGGGAGTGGATGCCTCCTTCCTGGTCTCCTCAGATACAACTAATGAAATTCTTGCCCCGCAACCAAATGGGAAATGGTGTAGTCTCCTGACTTGCGTGTGTGTGTGTGTGTGTGTGTGCGCGTGTGTAGGGATGGGGGTGTTCAGGGTCTGTGGGGAGGGGAGGGCTCCCACTGTGGATGCCGTGGTAGGGGGACTGGGAGGGCTGTGCCATCCTCCCCAGCTCCTCTCCTTCTGAGGTGTGGGGTGGAGGGGATGGGGGGTGAGGGGGTGGGGGTGAGCTCACTGAAGCCCAACCCACCTTTCTCTGGGAACATCAGCCACAGCCACACTGGTACACCAATGGCCGTGGGTCATGGTCACTGACAATTGAACCATCTGGCCCCCAGTGTCAGGTGCTTGCCACTCCAACAAGACAACTCAGGCTCATGGTCCCACTCAGGGTCTCCTCTCAAATGCTAAGCCACCAGGGACTTCCAGGGCCACTCACTGTCACAAGCGGGCAGTTGCACCATCACACAAGACTCTTGTTTTCTTATTTCCTCCCTCCGTCATTCATTCATCAATTCAGATCTCTTTGTTAGGCAGGATGAGCCCCGTGAGGCAGTGGGAAGGCCATAAACAGGCCATTTTTAACGGTGCAGGAGGTAAGGGACAGAACAGGGGTGCACATGAAGTGTCAAGGGAGCCCGGAGGAGCTCCTACCCAGGACGCAGAGCTGGAATGTGGGGAGTGGGGTGATGCCAAAGACAGGCTGTGTGCGAAGCGGCCAGGCAGAAACTTGGGGCAAGAATATCCCATTCATACACACGCACACAGCCTGGCTGCTGAAACAGTCTCAGGATCACATGCTGACGATGTGGTGCCGTCACCGGGTACAAGATGTGGGACCACCGGTCACCCCAGCCCGACGGCCCGGACGTGGACCCTCCCACGGAGCCTGCCCCTGGGTCACACTGCAGCTCGCTGTGTCCACTCCTCGCCTCACAGGTCAGAGGAGGGGCTGCTGGGCCCAGGATGCGCGCCGAGCCGGCTGCCGTGGGCCCCATTAGCATTCCGGGAAGCGAGTGTGCCAACGCGGGCCAAACCCCTATTCTTCTCACACACAAAACCCCCGGCCTGCCTGCCAGCCCCGGCTCCTGCCCCTCCCCCAGCCAAACAGCCCCCTTCAGCCCCCTCCTACAAAGGGCCCCCTCGCTTCGTAGAACGTCCAGGCGTCCCCTCTGGGGTCCCCATGCACTGTTCCCTTCAGAGCCTCGGGGGGAAGGGGCAGGAGAGCGGCTCAGTGAGGAGTAAGAGGTTTTGGGGGGCACGCCTGGAGGGAGGGATTGCACCCTCAGTCTTCCACGGATGTGGCCCAAAGGTCCCCTGAACCCGAGGCTGCATCGCAGGACAGGATGGGACGGTGCGAGGACACAAGAGAGGCAGGACGGGGCTGGAGTGACAGCAGCGGGAAGACAGAGTCGGAGGCCCAGGGGATGCGGAGGATTTAGGTGAGAGGCCCGAGACAAAGGGACAGAGGGGTGCAGACAAGGCGAGGGCCTGTGGGGTGCAGGTGAAAGGAGCAAGCCGACGGGGCGGGCGCGGGGTCCTCGCGCGCTGCAGGCTGCAGCTGAGCCGGAAAACTCGCTTCCGGGCCTAGGCACCGGTGCCCGTGCGGTGGGCGCAGCCCGGGGGTCGGCGGCCCCCCTCGGCTTGGCGTCCCAGCTCTCGGGACGCACGCACCAAGAGCAGCGCGTGAGGCGCTCAGGAGAGCGGAGAGTCAGGCACCACACCCTCATGGTCGCGCTGACACAGGTCTGGAGAGCCCCCCAGTTTCTCTGCGGATCCCCTAACTCCCTTCCACAGCAGCCCGGGTACCTGGTCCGAGGCAGGCGAGCGTGGGCAGGCGGCAGCGGCTGACGATGAGGTCCAGCGGGAAGGCGCCCATGCTCCAGCGCAGGCCGGCCAGCCCGGCCGCCAGCTTCTCCATGGCATGGGGGCCCCGACGGCCAGTTCCGCGCGGCCCGGGCTCCCGCGCCCGCCGCCACCTCCTGGGGCCACCGCACTCCGCTCGGCCGGTGTCCCGGTTGGCGTCACGTGCCCCGCCCCCCAGGACCCGGCCCGCCCCCCCGCCCAGCCCCCGCGGGCCCAGGCCCCTCTCGCCCCGCCCCCGGGGGGGCCGGCTCCTCACACCCCTCGCCGGGGCCCGGCCCCTCGCCCCGCCCCCGGTCCGCGCCTCCCATCGCTGCCCGGTGTTGATTACCTTGGGCTTCAACGCACACAACTGAGGCAGGCCGGGCTTTCTTTATGCGCAACTGAGTAGTTCAAGTTCAAGTGACTACAAATGCTATTGCCTTCCTTCCCTTTGGGTCCCTGCTGCCTTATGTACCACCCCTCATCACCCCACTGTAGGACGCTTTGCAAGCTCCCAGCGCCCTCTTCACCGATTTTAACACCAGCGCCAGCAGCACACTGTACTGCATATATAATTGTTCATATTTTATAAATGAAGAAACTGAGTCGGGCTTGTAAGCAATAGTGAAATATTCTTTCTCTCTGAAGTGTACTGTATGTAGTCTCTGTGCCTTCTTTCACTTCCCCTTCTCTTAATGTGTTCTTCCATTTCTTTCCTCTTTTAACTTCTTTTTCCAGCCCCTTTTGGCTCCGGGGCTCCGCTCGGGATCCCTTTCCAGAAGCTCCGGTGGCTTTGACCCATTGGCCCAAGCTCGGTCCAGTCCACACCCCTCTGTCCCCCGCAGTGTGTCTGCGGCGCCCTCTGCAGGCTGCCAGGGACTGGTGCAGGCCAGTCGCTCGACCTGCAAACTGCACTCCGCTGTGTGACGCCAAGGTCAGCCTAAATCTCTAGGTTATTTTTATTATTACTGTTCTTTATTGCAGATCACCAGAGAACTACCAGATGTGCAGGCTGGGTTTATAAGAGGCCGTGGTACTTAAGATACTTAGCTAATGTCAGATGGATCTTGGCTGAAAGCGGAAGAGTACCAGAAGGATGTCTATCTGTGTTTCTTTGACTATACAAAGGTGTTTGACTGTGTGGATCATAATGCAAAACTTATGCTTGGACCAGGAGGCAGTTGTCAGAACAGAGCAAGAAGACACGGTATGGTTCAAAATCAGGAAGGGTGTATGCCAGGGATGCATCCTGTCCCCATACCTTTTCAATCTATATGCATAACAGGTTGTCCAGAAGGTTGGGCTCTATGAGGAGAAATGTTGCATCAGGATTGGAGGAAGACTCATCAACAACCAGCATTATGCAGATGACAGGCACAACCCTGCTTGCTGAAACTGAGGAGGACCTGAAGTGCTTGCTGCAGGAGGTTAATATGTCTTCAATATGGATTGAAGTTCAACATCAAATAAAACAAAGATTTTTCACCACTGGGCTGGGCCGATTGGTAGCGTTATGATAGATGGTGAAGAGACTGAGATTGTGAACAGCTTCAGTTTGCTTGGCTCTGCAATCAACATTCTTGGTATCAGCAGCCAGGAAATCAAGAGATGAATTGCATTGGGAAAGTCTGCTGTCAGGGACCTCTCCAGAGTACTGGAGAGCAATGACGTCAGTCTGGAGACTAAGATGTAACTGATCAAGGACATAGTCTTTGCAATTGCTTGCTATGTGTCAGATAGCTGGAAAATGACTAGGGATGATAGAAAGAGAATTAATGCCTTTGAGCTGTGGTGCTGGAGGAGAGTGTTGGATATACAATGGACTTTCAGGAGGACAAGCAGGTTCTTCCTAAAGAGGATGAAACCAGGCTGCTCCTTGGAGGCAAAGATTCTGAGCCTTTGTCTGACATACTTTGGGCATGTTGCAAGGAGGGATCAGTCCTTGGAGAGGGACATCATGCTTGGGAGGGTAGAGGGACAGAGGAAGAAAGGAGATGAGATGGATTGATTCAGTGACTGTGGTAATGAGGGTTGGTGTGTCAGAGACAGTAAAATTGACACAGGATAGAGCAGGATTCAGAGCTGTTGTACATAGGGTCACTATGAATCACAAGTGATTCAACAGCACATAACAACAGCAACAGTGCTAGTACTGGTACTGGTAAAGAAGAAATGGAGAGGGTGAGTTAGAGGATTTGTTGTTGTGTGCCATCGAATCAGAACCAACCCATAACTGACCATCCAGTAGTTTTCCAGGGGCAGTAAATCAATGGGAGGAGATGGCCCATCCTTCTCCCACAGAGCAGCTGATAGATTTGAACCAGGAACCAGGTGTCTTTAAGGATTGCAACACAGCTTCCTACCATTAGGCCACCAGAGCTTTCTAGTTAGAAGGGTGAGGAATTGAAAAACTCTTAAGATTATTGCTTTTGAGTTGGGATTGACTTATAGCTGACCCTCCAGCAGGTTTTCCAAGGCTGTAAATGGCAAGGGAAGGTGTAAACTCCGTGGATCTTTCTCACATAGAAATGCAAGTAGATTTGAATCACCAAAGAGGCAGGGTTAGCAGCTTTCTTCCCATGGCTACACCACCAGAGCTCCATTAGGAGGTCATAAAATGAAAAGTGAATGAAAAGAAAGCTGGCTTAGATTCACTTTTTTTTTTAGATTCACTTTTATTTCCCTACCCAGTGAGGTCTTTCTTTGGCATCCAAACTGAAACACTACTCAAAATTGAAGAGATGCTAACTGGGAGAATAGGCATAAACTGGACACCAGGACAGCAAGTGTAAGCTGAGTGGGGCCATTTGGCCACTAAGAGTTGCATCTGAGCTTATTGTGAGTCAAATTGTGCTCCCCAAAGTATACACTGTAAGTCTTAACCTCCCAGAACATTTAATTATGCTTACATGAAGCCTACACCTAGACTAAGAAATGATTGTCCAAACAAAGCAAGGGAACACAGCATGGTGTAAAATTTGAAAAGGTATGAGTCAAGGTTGTACCCTTTCTCCACACCTATTCAGTCCATTTGCTGAGCAAATCATTTGAGAAGCTGGACTCGATGAAGAAGAATGTGGCATCAGAATCAAAGGAAGACTCATCAATGGCCTGCGTTATGCAGATGGCACAATCTTGCTGGCTGAAAGTGAGGAGGACTTGAAGGGGTTGCTCCAGAATATCAAAGACTGCAGCTTTCAATATAGATTACATCTCAACATCAAGAAGACAAAAACCCTCTGCACTGATTCAATAGGCTACATCATGATAGATGGAGAAAAATTGAAATTGTCAATGATTTTATCTTACTTGGATCCACAGTCAACACCCTTGGTCCTAGCAGGCAGGAGAGCAAGAGACATATTGCATTGGGAAAGTCTGCTTTCAGAAACATCTCCAAATTACTAAGGAGAAATGACATCAGTTTGAAGATTAAGGTACACCTGACTCAGGCCATGGTCTTTTGCCATTTGAGAGTTAGACAATGAATACGAATGAAAGAAGAAGAATTGATGCCTTTGAGCTGTGGTATTGGAGAAGAACACTGAATACCCCATGGACTACTGAATCAGGTTTCCTATGAAGTGTATCTGAAGTCTTTCTCTTACCAAATATAAAGGGAGTAGACTTGGGAAGGAAGGGTAATAGAGATGTGAAGCCACCAGTAGAAACCAGGGAGAGACAAGGACCTTCTTCAAGAGCCGACACAGAAAGAAAGAAAGATTTCTTCTAGAGCCAGCACCTTTAATTTAGAATTCTAGCTTCATGGGGGAGTTCTGGTGGCCTAATGGTAAGGAGCTGTACTGTCAACCCAAAAGGCAGGCAGTTCAAATCCACTCTTGTGGTTTACTGCCTCTGAATAACCACGAGAGGGTCAGCTATGAATCAGTTCAGACTTGAGAAATAATAACCACAGTCTCTTGGAGACCTGCACTGCCAATATAGCAACCTGAGAGGACAGGGCACAACTGCCCACAATGTTTCCAAGGGTTTACAGATGCAAGCGTCCACTTCTTCCTCCCACAGAATGGCCAGAAGGCTTGAACCATCGACCTTCTGTTTAGCAGCCAAGTGTTTAGCCATTACGGCACCAGGACCCCCTTATTTCTAAAGATAGAAATTTTAAAGACATTTTTAAGAAAACATAATGACAATTGTATACAACTAAGGAGTTAGCAACAGTTTTCTAATTTCATATTTTATTTAGTCAGAGTTTCTACTTCCCCAACCATCTTGCACATTGAAAAAGAGAGATGGAATTCACTTGAGTCTTAATGCCAACAAACTCTTTTTCCCTTGCCATTGATTCCTAGGGGGAAATTTCAAATAATTTGTTGATTGTATGAATAACCAATATGTTTTATATATAACAAAGTAAAACATGAATTCATTAATAAGCAACCGAACAAAAACCCAATCATTTATCCTATTATATTTCCCACATGTCTGGACTTTGTGACATAGTAATATTGCTCTGACACCTGCCTTTTTTCTCCTCAATTGGTAATAGAATTTGGTGACAGAAAAAAAATCTTCTGACTAATATATATATATATAGAGAGAGAGAGAGAGGGAGCTGGAGAAGAGTCTTGAACATAGCATGGACTGTCAAGAGAACAAAACAGGTCTATCTTGGAAAGGATGAAACCAAATTTCTCCTAGGATTTTGAAGCTCCATCTCACATACTTTGGGCATGTGGCCAAAAGACACTGGTCCTTGGAGAAGGACATCAATGCTTGGAAGGGTGGAGGGACAGCATAGGAGAGGAAGGCCCCTGAGGCAAAGGGGATTTGTGTGTCGGAATCAGTGAGACTGGCTCAGGATAGGGCAGGCTTCAGAGCTGTTGTACATGAGTTGTAGGTGACTTGACTGCACATAGCAACAACAACGTGTATGTGTTTGTAGCAGTATTGCATAATTATGTCACAACATATGTCTAGTGGTAAGGAGCTGTGTTGTCAACCTAAAGCCATCAGCTACTCTGGGGTAAAACGGGGACAATCTCCTGTGAAAATTACAGACTCAAAACCCACGAGAGGGCAACTATGAGTCAGTTCTGACCTGATGGAAATTATTTTCTGTCATAGGACATGGCAGTTCTTTCATCAGGAGACACAAAGTCTCAGATAGCCTCTCTTTTTGTTAT